GGAGGGAAGAGAGAATAAAATAGCAAAAACAAAACAGTTTAGACATTTTAAAATAAAGTTGCACATATAACTCTGATGAGAACAATTCCAGGGAAGAGAGAATAAAATAGCAAAAACAAAACAGTTTAGACATTTTAAAATAAAGTTGCACATATAACTCTGATGAGAACAATTCCACTGTTCATTTACTCAAGAAAAATGAAGGCGCATGTCCATGAAAAGATGGTCAGGAATGTTCAGGGGCCTGGGATATAGTTCAGTAGTAGAGCATTCACTTAGCATACACAAGGCTCTAAGTACCCCTCTTCCCCAATGTTCATAACAGCTTTATTCACAAAAGTCTAAAACTGGAAGCAAACTAAATGTGATTAGATTTTTAAAAATTGTGTATATCATACAATGGCATAATACCTAGAAATTAAAAGGAATGAATTAATAACAATGTGGCTGAATCCAAAAGCATATGGAGCCAAAGGAGCCAGACACAAAGGAGTTCATACGTTCTGTAGAATTCCATTTATATTAAGTATACCAGAGAAAATTAATCTACGGTGATTAAAAAAAATCCTACCAGTAGCTTGAGAGGGCAGATTGACTGAAAGGAGAATAAGAGAACTTTCTGAAATAATGACTGTTCTTTATTTTAATTAGGATGGCAATTACATTGTTCAATATATTTGCCAAAACTCAACAAACTGCTCACTCAAAATCTGTGCATGTTATTGTATATGAATCATCTTTCAATTTTTTAGAACCCAAAGGATAGTAGCATACCCATGCTTATAGTACAATTATTCAGAATGTTGAAAAAAGCGGCAGCAACATGTGTCTATAGGCAGATAAGTGGATAAACAAAGTGTTTTGCATACATACAATGGAATATTGTTTAGCCTTAAAGAGGAAGAAAAATTCTAAGATATGCTGCAATAGGAATGAACCTCGAGGATGTTATGCTAACTAAAATAGGCCAGTCACAAAATAAAATATTATGGGCCACTCTTTTTATGAGTTACCTGGTGGAGTTAAATTCATGCAGAGAGTAGAATGATGATGGCCCAGGCCTAGGGGGATGGGAAGTGGAGAATGGGGAGTTATTGTTTAATGAGTATGGAATTGCAGTTTTGCAAGATGAACAGAGTTCTGGAGATGGTGAAGGTTACGTAACAATGAATGTACTTCATACCACTGAGCTGTATATTTAAAAGTAATTAAGAGGACGAATTTTAAGTTATATATATTTTACCAGAGGTTAAAAAAAAAGTATTGAAAACATTACATAGGGACAGACATTAAGTTGCCTACTTTTTACTTTGACAAATAAGGACATTGAAAAACAACAAACCACTCACCTTCTACTATCACCTGAAGGGCAGTATATTTTTAAAACCAATGCAGTGAGCCGGGGATTTAGTTCAGTGGTTCTGCCGCCTGCCTCGAAAGCACAAGGTCTCGAGTTTGATCCCCGGTACCAAAATTAAACAAACAAACAAGCAACAAACCATAAAACTAATGCAGTGTGTGGGACATAGTCTCAAGAAAAAAACAGTTTCTTAGTTTCTTCAAAATAGCATTTGCATATGATCTCCTGAACTGGTTTGTTTGTCTTGAGACAGGGTCTTTCTATATTTTCCCAGGCTGGTCTCAAACTTGCAATTCTCCTGCCTCAGCCTCCCAAGTAGCTGGGATTAGAAGCATGCTCCACCACACCCAACTATTCTAAATTTCATCAGAGATTAATGATTTAAAAATTCTTTCCATTAGCACCAGTTTGGAGACCAGAATTTGTAATTGCTACCAGTACTAAGTGGATTGATGGTACCACAGTGACAAAAGCTGAGTTTATAAAACTACTATTTTGACCCAGTGTGACACTGTCTGTATCCTTAAACCAAACTGAAAACGTTCTTCCCCAACCCCTGCACTACTGAGAATCGAACTCATGACCTTGTGCTTGCCAGGCAGGTGTGGAGTTACTGAGCTAAAGCCCTGGTCCTAAAGCAAGCTTTCTTTTTTTTTTTGGTACCAGGGATTGAACTCTGGTCCTTGTGCTTGCGAGGCAGGCGGCAGCATCAGTGAGCTAAATCCCTGGCCCACAAGCTTTCATTCAGGTGTAGAAACGCAAAATATTGCACAGACAGTTGTGGAAATAAGGACTCAGCATTCAGCAGAGAATGGGTGATGGGTGGGAAAATATGACATCCTTATCCTGACATACATTCAGATTGTGCACTTGTGGCTCCCTGCACTTACTTTCTAATGTGCAATGGCTTTAATATGACACAGCTTTCCCACCAGTAGCTTGTGCAACGGTAGCTTACCAGAAGGCAGGAAATGAAATAACCCAAGCTTGGTGTAACTCAGAGGCTGAGACTGTGTGGCAAGGCAGCAAGGAGATTGGGGGTGTGGCTGAGTGGTAGAGTGCTTGCCTAGCCTGTGGGACTCCCTGGGTTCAATTCAAGTACACCTCTCCTTTCCCTAGTTAAAGTATGAGAGCATAAGGAAATTCAAAGTTTGTTCCAAGGCTCAACCTTTGCTATGGGGTCCCAGAAAATTCTGGAAATCTGCACAGTGATTAAGCATCATGTTCCTGTTAGGTAGTATTGAGGAACAAGCGTGTAGAGATTGCAATTTGAGGTGGCCTAAGAGTTCTCAGGGTCTACATAGTCTTCTCACTTTATATTTTTTAAGGAGTGTTAAAATGCTTCAAATTAGTATGACAAATTCCTTAATATTAAATCCAAAATTATGTATTTGATATGCAAGATATAGTTGAATGAAATCAGAGTCATATGGTTACTGTGATACTCTTAGCATTTCTATCTCTATCTATCCATCCATCACACAAAGAGAGATATATATCTTCAAATATATTTTCTATGTTGTTTCCCCCCTAGGTCATTATTTGTAATATCAGGAGGAGGGGGTTTGATATGTTAAAACATTTTTATTTTTATTTATTTATTTTTGGTACTGGGGATCAAACTTGGGTCCTTGAGCTTGCGAGGCAGGCGGCAGAACCACTGAGCTAAATCCCCAGCCCCTAGACATTTTAAAAAACAACCACATCCTTTCAGAAAAATGCCTAAGAAGTCCAAAAAACCTTTTGTGTATGGGGCTAGAGATCAAACTCAGGATTTGCACATGCTAGGCAGGTGTGTGAGCTACTCCTCCAGCTCACACATACAGAACAATTCTTTATGTCCCCCCGCGGGGATTCCCTCTTTACTGTGCTCAAGTTCTTTTACCCTATACCAGATCGTGCTCTTGTACAGATTTCCTCCTCGCTCTGCTTGGGCTCTGACACTGTCACTCCGTTACCATTATGCATGGACACCTTCTTCACCTGGCTCAAACCCTTGCACTCTGCAATGACCCCCCGGCCCCCATCATGTGAACACCCTCCTTCCCCTGAGCTGCCTCCCCTTCTGCACTGAGGCAGCCCTCCAACACAAGTACTGTACTCTGCTCAGATTCACGGACCCCATACTTGGTCACTCCCCTGCATGGATGCTCTCTTCACACTATTTAATACCAGGTCACACCGCCACATCTGCCTCGGTTTGCTTGGCAGTTCTTCTTCCTTATTTAAATATGCGAGTCCTGCGTCGGGGATTTTAGTTCAGCAATTCCAATGCCTGCCTTGCAAGCGCAAGGACCCGAATTTGATCCCTGGTACCCCCCCAAAAAAGAAAAGAAAAATATGTGAGTCCTAACTTGTAACATTTGCAGTGGTTTTGCCGCATTCCTAGATTTATTCCTTACTTCACGACTGAATATTTTTGTCCCTTCCCCAATTTCTCATTTTGAAATATCATAATTGGCTGGGCTACATAATCAGGTAACTTTTCTAAAAAGTGTTTATGTGTGGTTGATCTGAGGTAAATTTTGTACATTTGAGTCTATTTTTGAATGCCTTTATACACAAGTGGAAATTTAGCCAGGTATAAAATTGTTGGTTCACACTTATTTCTCCTTTGAACTATGTAAACACTGCTCTATAATCTTCTGGCGTAGGCCATTGCTGTGAATTAAGTTTGAATCCAGATTTACCTTATTAAAAATGACTTGCATTCTTTGCTGACCTCCCTATAGGATCATTTACCTAGCTTTAATCACTTCATGTGGCTGTGTTATGTTTCCATACCTTTTTTCCTATAATGCAGTATATCCTTTAAATTTATACATTCTGTTCTTCAGTTCAGGGAAGTGAATGTTTATCTTTGAATACTTTTATTCTTCATTTGCTCTATTCTCCACCTCAAAGACATCAACTATATATATGTAATAAATTTCTGTTCTTTTTATCAATACGTATTATTTTTGAGACTGCAATTTTCTATATGGATGTAAGGAAATAATAATTATTATTTTAGGTATTATCCAACTATGTGATCTTTTATGGTTTTTCTCATTCAGGTCTCAGGTACTATAATCTTTGTGAATGATCATAACTGTGAGTGTGTGTGTGTCTGTGTGTGTGTGTGTAAATATACAGACTATGATGTAGGAGATTAACAATAACCCAATAGCTAATTCATTTTCCAAGACATACAGTGCTCATGGGCCAGGGATTTAGCCCAGTGGTGCCACTGCCGGCCTCATAAGGGCAAGGTCCTGAGTTTGATCCCTGGTACCAAAAAATTTAAAAAAAAAAAGAGAAATACAGTGATTGGACAATTAGAATATTTATCTATTTACTCATTCGTTCATTCATTCATTTTGTGGCAGTGCTAGGGTATTGAAGCCAGGGCCTTGAGCATATTAGGTAAGTGTTCTACTACTGAGGCACAGCCCCTGCCAAAGAACTTGTTTTTAGTGTGAGGATTGAGTCCAGAGGCACACTGAGATACACTTTGGTATTTTTAATTTTGCCAAATTTCACAGGCTGGCGTTCAACTTGCCCTCTTCCTGACTCAGCCTACTGAGTAACTGGAATTACAGGCATCAGCCTGACTCAGATACTAGAACAAATTTTTATGTAGTGATTAACTATACAAAGCAAATCTATAAGCACTTTACATATATTGGTTCATTGAATTCTCACAATAACTATATAAAATAAGTATTATGTCATCATTTATGAGAGGACTAAGTAAATCTCAAGTTTCATTACTACTAAATGGTACAGTAGGTTTGGAACTTGAATTTTCAACATGATGTCCACACATTAATCCACTGTACTCTCTTTTACTCATCGTCTGTCATTGTAGGGAGTCCTGGGGGAAAAAGAAAGAGGGACAGGGATTTAGCTCAGTGGTGCCACCACCTCCCTCACAAGTGCAACGTCCTGAGTTCGATCCCCGGTAAAGAAAAAAAAAAAAAAATGTGCATGCCTCTAGATGATATTCATATTTTAAGAAGTCAAATCTGTTTGTTCTCATGATATATTTATCTTTATAATAATGTATGTTACAATTATAAAATATATGGGTTGTAAACCTTTATTTGTTTGTTTGTTTTGCTTTGCTTTTTGAGCCAGGGTCTCACTATGTAGTTGAGACTGACCTGGAACTCACTATGTAGCCCAGGCTGGTCTCGAACTCACACCTATCCGCCTGCCTCAGCCTCCCGAGTGCTGGGATTACAGGCTTGTGTCAGCACACCTGACTTGGGTTGTAAACCTTTATTTGTTTGTTTGTTTTGCTTTGCTTTTTGAGCCAGGGTCTCACTATGTAGTTGAGACTGACCTGGAACTCACTATGTAGCCCAGGCTGGTCTCGAACTCACACCTATCCGCCTGCCTCAGCCTCCCGAGTGCTGGGATTACAGGCTTGTGTCAGCACACCTGACTTGGGTTGTAAACCTTTGAAAAGTAACTTTTAGTCAGTATCAGTTTCTTTTTTCAAAGGTACAAGTACCAAATGCTCCGTAAATGTATTACTAAATCCTAATCTTCATTTTCACTGAACATATTACTGAAATCTTAATATTCAATTTCCTTAGAAATTCAGCCAATAACTTTAGTGATGTTAAAGAAGCATTCTTTCAAGCTAATAGAAATGTATTGTAAATGTATGTCTAAAATATTAATAAGTTGAAAGACTCCAAGTTTTAAAAAGTATACCGATATAAATGTTTCATAAGTGATGATACAGTTATATAATTTTCAGGAATAGTGATAGAAACATTTGCAGGCATTTGTTTTTAAAATGCCTTCTCAATAAAAGAATTTCTTTGCAAAAGCAGTTACTTTTCATGTTTTCCTGAAATGTACTGATTATATGTGTTTGTTATTTTAAGACCTAGTGGTAGCATAGGTTTTTGGGTTTTGTTGTTGTTGTTTGCAGTATTGGGGATCAAATCAAAGCTTGGTTTATGCTACATAGATGCTTTGCTGCTGAGCTACAACCCTAGCTCTGTTTTTTTTGTTGTTGTTGTCATTTGTCACAATGGAAAAGGTAAAAAATTTTGGAACACTGATATATACATATATGGATTTTTTTAAATACTGGGGATCAAACTCAGGACCTTGGGTTTGCCAGACAGGCATGGCACCACTGAGCTAAATCCCCAGCCCTGGAACAATAGTATTTTTGTTAGAGGAAAAAATCTGCAATTTATCTTTAAATTGACAATTCTCTTAAGTCTTTTATCCCAATCTTAAGTCCCCTCTGTGAACCTGATACAATTGATTTTTATGGTATCCCCCAATCTCCTAACACAGTACAAAGGTCCTACTTTTTTTGGAGAGGGGTGCTAGGAATTGAATCCAAGGCCTTGTACATGCTAAGCATGGACTCCATCACTGAGCTACATCTTCAGGCACTGCTTCTACTCTTTAAAGGTTATTTTTATGTGTTTTCCTTTGTTTGCTTATCTTTATAAATGTAATCTTAATGACACCCCAAAGCACACAAACTCATCTCAGGAGACTCCTCTTGCCATTTATGACACTTAACCTCATGGACAGACAAGCGTGACTGCAAGCATCAATTCAAATATGAGGTATCAGTATAAAGTTTAATTATTTTAAAGAAAAATAAATATATTAAGTATCACTAAAGTTTAATTACTTTAAAAAACAAATACATAGAAAGTATAGTATTTTTTGTGCAGCCCAGGGTGGCATCTTATACATTTCCAGGAAAGAGCACATGCACCCTCTTTAGACACCACTGTTCTAAAGCACCACTAGAACCTTCTTTCCTCCTGCCAGCAAACCCCCTTATCTGTCTGTGCATTTATCCATTGATAAAACTCAATCTCTTTCTTGATACTACCACTACCTCAGTCCTCACTCCCTTCTCCTTGGGACTGCTGAGGCCTTCATAACCACCCATCCTGGAGGCTGGGGGCCACCTCTCTTCCTGAGCTAAGAGAAGAACTCAACAACTCACCCTGGTCTCAGCCAGCCTTTCTGCTGTGCACAGGCTGACCTCTGGATCTTGGTTCTGCATTATGGTTTTTCTTCTTTGCATCCTCATTTCTCAATGCCTGTGGCTGAATCCAGGATGAAAAATAATAAGAGCAAACACTACAGAACTCAAAGAGCAAGTAAACTCAAAGAGCAAATAAAGAGCAAAACTTTGCCCTCTTGGTGCAATAAATGTTAATTTATTTAATCCTCAGAACCCTGTGAAATAATACTATTAATATCCCCATTTTATGAAAGATGAAACTGAGGTAGAGGTTAGTATCATAAAATCTCCAAAGTCACCAACTACACGAGGTGGAAGTGAATGGGGTTGATCCTAAGTAGAGGAATTCCAGGAACAATTTACTATTTTGCCCTGCCTCAAGCCAACTTGTCATAGGTAATTATGATAAAGGTGGATATACATTTCTAAGACAGCTTGCAGCCAACAGCATAGCAAGTTCAAGATGATACAGTGCTGCTTTTGGGTAGATCATATACTTAAGTTAAAAAACAATGGCACTAGTTGGGTGGTGAATATGAAAGAAGACTGGGATGGACAGGTGGTTCAATGCCTAGAGTGAAAAACAGATTGACCAATTCCAAACAAAACAAAACAATCTGGTAGCCAGGAAACAGGTTAACAGGGAATATTAACAATATTCTCCAATGATTGTCAATGATGACTTAGACTCTGTTCTCTCTCTCTCCCTCTTTTTCTTTTTTTTTTTGTACCAGGGATCAAATTGAGGACCTTGCACTTGTGAGGCAGGTGCAGGGCTAGTGAGCTAAATCCACACCCCTATTTGTCTTATTTTCATTGTCCCTTTAACTCTTACAAGGATCCTAAAGCGGTGTATCTCTTTAAAATCAAATGGTTTAGCTATAATTCGAACCTTGTATATTTGAATTATATATGCTAAAGGGTGGCTTGGGGGGGCTATAGTTACCACTTTTACATAACTTCCATTAGTTTGTCCAAAACCAACCCTAATAAATGTATGATCTATGGAAAAAACAATGTGTTAACTCTTAATCACAACTTCAACACAAGACTGCCTTCTGCCTTCTGACTGCTGCATTCTTGGGCAGCCTTGGACTTGTTCCAAAGGTCATCTCTTAACAGTGAATGGAGCTTTCTATCTTTTCACCACTGTGAAGCCTTAAGAAGTCGCAATGACAAGAGTGGAAATATACCCTCCTTCCCCCAACTACTATTACTTATTATTAGTAGTATTGTTATTTTTAAGAACTAGGAATTGAACCCAGGGCATCTTACATGCTAAGCAAGTGCTATACTTCTGGGCTACAACCCAGGCCAGCCTTTATTTTTTGCTTTTGCTGTGTCTGGTATTAAACTCAGGGGCATACACATACTAGGCAAGTATTCTACATACTCAGTCCTTCCAAATTTGAATTCCAAGCAAGTGAGACAAAAAAAAAAATAGGAATCTGTTGGTGGTGGGAGTGAGGGGTAGAGTACCTATCAGAAGCAAAATTCTGCCTCTCTGAGACCCAAGGTTCAGAAACCTGGAAAGTGAAATTTGGTGAGGAGAAAAAAGAGGTAGATCTTTGGGAATTGGGAAGGAACTGACATGAAAATCAAAGCTGTAGAGAAGTTGAGGAAATGGACCACAGTTCAGATAAAAGAATGAACTAGTTTGGAAGATCACTGGCTCCTGACGTGAAACCTGAATTCACAGATGCCAGGTAAGCCCCACAGGACTGGCTGTTGTGAACAAAAGCAGCATGAGGTTTTGCTCTGAGTTGGTTCCTTCCACATGGCAGGTAACAGAGAATGAGAAAATCCAGTGCGGTGCCTTCCATATTGCCAGAGAATGCTTGATCAGGGGTTGTTTCAGGAAGGTGTTGATTATTTAAGACTGAGACTCTGAACAATTAAAGAATTACTTCAGGGTTCCCAGTGTAACCCTCCCACAGTGACTGGGTGGGAGACAGTCACAGGAGACAGTTACAGAGCATGTGAAGGCTAAATATAGAATCCCTGAGAGGTTTGACCTCAGGCCAGGAAGGATGGGGCCCTGCTCTCTGTAGTGAGGAGCCAGGCCAGCTTGTGCTGTGCTCAGAAACTGCACAGGCAAGGACTTTCTGAACAAAACCCCAGTTGCACAGGAAATAGCAGCAAGAATCAACAAGTGGGATCTAGTCAAATTTAAAAGCTTCTGCACGGCAAAAGAGACAACCAATAGAATGAAAAGAAAGCCTACAGAATGGGCAAAAAAATTTTTTTTTGCTATTCCTCAGAGGACTAATATCTAGAATATATAAAGAACTCAAAAAATGAGATGCCTCCAAATAAAAAGACCCAATTTAAAAATGGGCAAGTGAAATGACACATCATAGAAGAAGTACAAATGGCCAATAAATATATTTTAAAATGCTCGACATTGCTGGTCATTAGAGAAATGAAAATTATAGCAATACTGAGGTTCCATCTTTCCCCAGAAAGAATGGCCATCACCCAGAAATCAAATGCTGGGGAGGCTGTGGGAGAAAAAGGAACACTTCTATATTGTTGATGGGAATGTAAGCTAGTATAACCACTATGGAAGTCAGTATGGAGATTTCTCAAAAAACTAAGACCAGAAATTCCGTTCAATCCAGCTACTCCCTTTCTAGGTATCTTCCTGAAAGAGTTAAAGACATTATATTACAGTAATACATGCATACCCATGTACATAGCAGCACAATTCAGGATAGCTAAATCTTTGAAGCAGCCTGAACATCCATCAACAGATGAATGGATAAAGAAAATAGGGTATTTACATGCAATGGAGTACTACTCTGTTATAAAGATAAACTTCAGTCATTTGTAGGAAAATGAATGCACCTTGAGACCAAAATGTTAAGTGAAATAAAACAGGCTTAAGTATTGCATGATTTCTCTTATGTGAGAAACTCAAAGTAGAAATAACCTAAAGAACAAAATAAAGGACAGATAATAGGAAGCAGAGAGATAGATCTTTTTCAAATAGGAGGGGGACCAAGAGATGAAGAAAATGGGGAAGGAGAGAAGGAAAATTAAGAACATAAGAAGAATTAAGATGTATTATGTGCACATACCAACTCCCCACGATGAATGTAACATTATGGACTGTAAACACATACTAATAAAATTTAAAATGAGTAAATAAAAGAGGAAGAAGATGGGGACTAGCTAGTTCCTAAGTGAATGCTCTCATGATCCACTCCTTTCAAATAGGCCTCACCTCCTCAATAATGACTCGATTATGATCTCCTCAATGGATTACTTCCCTGATGAAGTCAGAATCCTCCATTCACTTCACAAAAGCTCATCAGCAACTAAGTCTTCAACACAGAGAGCCTCTTGGGGGACATATCACGTCCAAACCATAACATAGATCAATGTAATGGAAGTGAGACCTCTATTTTCTTTTTTTTTCTTTCTTTTTTTTTTTTTTTAGTCAATTCATTTTCAACAAGTGTGCCAAGACTTTCAGTGGGGGAAAGAAGGGTATTTTCAACAAATGCTGGTGGGTTAACTTGATAGCTTCATGCCAAGAATGGATTTGGACTCCTGTCTCAGACTGTTACTGGAACAAAGGGGTTACATTCCATAGTGACAAAGAATGAAGTAGACAGAGGAGGTAGAGTGAAAACAAGTTTGTTTAAAAGATATAGGGCCAGGGATTTAGCTCAGTGTTTATGCCGCCTGACTCCCAAGCACAAGGTCCTGAGTTTGATCCCTGGTACCAAAAAAAAAAAAAAAAAAAAAAAAAAAAGATATAAAGGAAAGGAAGAAAAGTTTCCACTAGGGAAGAGGGGGTTCTAAATAGGATACCCACAGGGATCTTTGCCTAGGGTCTTTTAAGGGATTTCGAAGGGAGCTCTGGCTGATGTGTAAGTAATATAATCTTTATATTATATAGGAGACTGTATATTTTTTAGGGTCCAATCTATGTAGTATTCATGTGGTGCCCATGCAGGGCCCATGCATCCTTGAGCCAATAGCCCACCTGATCATACGCTGAGGAGGTCTTAGAAGATGGAAGGACACCTGGCAGGTATTTTTTTAACTTCCCTGGAGGGTCATGACTCAGCAGACGATTCTGGGCTTCTTGACTGCACTTCGGGGCTTCTATCCTTGCTGCCTAATGGAACCTTAACTCCTCTCTCACTAATTCCTATTACAAGACTACATGCCTCAAAATGGATACCAATGGTGCTGAGGCTCTTGGGGTTTATCTCCAGCACTGAATAAAAAAAAATACTGATGGGCACCAGATTAAGAGATAGGTAGAACAAAGCATGGGGGAAAGGATGCACAGCTTCCACATGTACCACCTTCCAGGAATCTCCACATGTTCAGCTATTTAGAAATTCTCCAAACCTTGTCCTTTTGGGTTCTTATGGAGGCTTTTTCTGTGGGTATGAATGATTAAATCATTGGCCAATGATGATTGACTTACCCTTCAGTCCTTCTAGCTTACCCCCACCATGGAGGTTGGGGGATGGGATCAAGACGTTCCAACCTCTGACCCTGTTTTGGTCCTTCCTGTGGCCAGCATCCATCCTAAAGGTACTGGACTTGCCAGCCATGAGTCATTTCATTAGCACATAGTGGATATTTATCACTTTGAAGATTCCAGGGATTTTAGAAGTTGTACGTGAAGAAACAGAGACGAAGACCAAATATACATTTCATGATTTCCTGAAAAGCATCCTAGAAGATACTTCCTTTCTGCATAGGAAGGAAATAGCTGATACTCTGAATGTAAATCAGCTTTTGGAATGTGTGTGCTACCTATATGAGGGGAAAGTATACAGTGGCGCTTTATTGTGTTTATTATTTCAGGCTTGTGCCATGTTCATATTCTGGCATGGCATGAACTTATTACTTCAGGATGACGAGTAACAAATTTTTATAATTTAAGAATGAGAGCCAACTGATAAAATTATTTAAGAAGTTGCAAACTGGTATCGTCTGCATAATGGGTTATATCAAAACTTACTGGCTTAAAACAACAAATATTTATTATTTCACAGTTTCTGTGGGACAGAAATGTGAGTGCAGATTAGGTGGGTGACTCTGGCTCAGGATCCC